TCGCCCCGGCCCGGCTGACCTCGTCCTTGTGATCTTTCTGCGCTTATTCAGTTAATGACACTCGTCTGTCTTCCTTTTTTTTTTTTTTTTTTTTTTTCCTTCAACATTTTTCAGTTTCAATTACGGATTTGAGACCGCGTTCCTCACAGGCTTTTTTTTTTTTTTTTTTTTTTTTTTTTTTTTTTTTTTTTTTTTTGAATTTTTTTTTTTTTTTTTTTTTTTTAATTTTTTTTTTTTTTTTTTTTTTTTTTTTTTGTCTGCGTTCGGCCCAAACGGCCGAATGCATCCCCAAGGGATCCCATACGTTCGGGCGTTCGGGTTCGGGCGTTCGTCCCGTCCCGAATGCCGGTTACCCTGGGCTGAACATTATTTTCAAGTCGAATGGTTCAATCTCTTGTTTTATTATGAGGGAAAAGTTTTAGAGTAGAGCTAAGCATTATTTCCAAGTCGAATGCTTTAGCCTGAAACCACTCACCAATCACAAATGAGTATAATTGGATAAATTTTATTTGTATTTGCATGTGAATATGCAGCTGGACATTGTTTGCAAGTCGAATGGTTCAGCGTTAAGCCTTATCACTAAGAAGAGAGAAAAAGTTAAAAGTATAATTGGAAGTAACCTACGCAAGATGAGCATTCTTTCTAAGTCGAATGACTCAACCTCTTGTCTATATCTTGAAGACAACTCATGGAGTTATTAAAATTTTGATATTTAAACAATTAACATTGTCGAGCGTATCGACTTCTGCCTTTTTGCAAAGCGTGGGAATCCTCCCGACCATGTCACGCAGGAGTAAAAAAAAAAAAAAAACACGAGACAATTTGGGAATGATGCAAAATATTTCACGAACCTCCGAGATGGTCGTGGTAGCGTTGTCTCTTCGCTGCTCTAGTCGGGTGCGTCAGTTGTATATCCCGCGGTGTCCTACGACAAGATAGGTTCCCGCGGGGAACAACTTTCCTTCCCTAGGGGGATGTCACCACCCTTAGATGCGTATCGCTATTGAGCTATTGATCCATGTGCGAAAAATTTTACATGCAATCGCAAAGGTTGATCAACCGAGGGCGTTTGCTCGTTCACTGTAGTATAAATATGCTTCGTTAATGTTGAGCGGACACGAACGTCGTTCATTCCTTAGGGTGCCGATCTCTTAAGTACGAAGCGGACGCCGGTCGATTAGGACAATCTCAACAAAGTGTGAAACCCAACATTAATCCTAGTCCCTTAGACACACCGTCCAAAAAAAATTAAAATATTCATATATAATTATATCAAAGGGATCAACCATAGTTGATAAAAATAAATATTCAACTTGAAATGACAACTAAAAGAATTCGAATCATCATTCGATACATCTAAAAACACAAGACCAAAATAAAATTCGATCACCTCGAGTTGAATTCCATAAAAAAATCATACGACCGTCAACGAGGAGTTCACTACCGATAATAACATTGATGGAACCGACAAGGTGGTCGGTCTGCTTCGGTTTTGACTTGATGAAACGAGCCACCAAGGTCATTCATTCCGTCTGACTGCAGACCTAAGATTAGGCACGCATACACACGTCTCCATACTTTCTCAATCTTATTGGATGACAGACTACTTTGAGAATGGTTCTTGATCAGGAGCATTGCTTGAAGTGTTCCATGCCTCTCCCTCTAGGAAATGGTCTAAGGTACTTCTCCTTCTCGTCGGAGCCTTGATCTCATAAGTCGGTCCGTCTCCATCCAATCGACAAATACCCCCCCGTAGAACGGTCCACTCTGGGTCGATAACAGGGTCGGCTCCTAAAGCAAAAAACTCCTGCCCCAAATACTTCTTAGAGATAGAGAATGTGTCCACTGCAAGTAGTTTTCAATTATTCTTATTTCTCATGAGTTCAGGGTAACTTTGACGAAAAAAAATCGAAGGAGGTAGAGAACGAGAATCATTTGGAGGTAGATAATGTCTTTCGTGACAAAATGGGTAAATCATCGGGAAAAATACCAAGTCAATTTGACCTTATCTGCTTTCTCTCAATCAAATTCGTTTTATGAAACGCACTGAATTAATCTTCTTAAGAACAACAAGTTCACTTTGACAAACATGAAGGTGGACAATAAAAAAAAGACAATTTTTTTTCTTTTCTCCAGTAGGCAAAATCAATCTCCTTTGCAAGCATCCTTCTACCTACCTGCGCAGCACGCAAAGAAAATAATAAAAAAAAAAAAAACGTACAATCCCATACTCAAGTCACACCTCACCATTCACATGCAAACACATTTTCTTTGCCTTTTCAATGAACATTCGATTGAACAGGGTCAAGCAAAGTGTGGGTTCACACAGGTGTGAAGAAAAGCATGAATCAATCAACTAGCCTTGAGTGAAGTTTGAATCGGCCCACTCAAGAGAGTCAAGTAATATTATAATTAAAGTAAAGAATAACCATCGTTCTCTGTAAACATGTCACTCAGTAAAACACGCCAACCTCATAAAAAACTGATGAGAAGTCTTAGACTAGGAAATGTCATTATACATTGTCAACATATTTTCAAAATTGCCTACAATACACATTTTCATCCGGAATGTTCACACTAAGTAAACATGTCAACCTCATTTTTCTAAACCTAGAACCTGAATTCTCATTGACTTTCCTATCTAACCATGGACAAAATGTCAAATGTTATTCTAAGTCTCATATCAGGAATACTATCTTGTGAGAAATTGAACGGAGGGAAGTGACCTTTTGAAAGCAAAGATGCAAAACCTAACATAAAAACACCACAACTGGAAGAATCTTCTTGAGCGGGAATCCCATCTACTGATGTATCAAAGTAGGATGTAGGCTCCTCCACATGATATTTTTTCCGAAGATTTTGTCGCTGAAACTCCGCTCTGAAAAAACCTGTCAAAAGTTCGAGGGCTGGACCGTAGTCAACACGATGGAGAGAGTCTACGAGGCGGAATTTACACTCAGAGCGATCTATACTGACATAAGCTAAGGCCCAATGATTTCCGAAATGGAGAGGGATAATTACCAAATCAAAATTGAAAAGATTTATGTCCTTCACCCATCTCGTCCCTTCAGAGTATGCGATTTCAGCGGACTGAGCTTTTGATAATCTGGGAAAGAAAAAAGAATTTAGAATATGCACAGATGAAATGCTACAAGAACTTTCATCTTTTGCCACTTCTGCACACGTCGAATCCACCTTCTTGATGTAGTCATTGGTGATCTGAACGGCTAGCAGGTACAAATTGACGACTTCATCATTTAACCATTCCCCATCTTTGGCGGCGAGCATGACGTCTTTCTTTTCCACCTTCCACCTCCCCTTGTAATCGACAATGCCGTATTCTTCATTCTCTTCAGTGCTGCTTGTAACCATTTCAAGATACTCATTTTCTTCTACAGTAAGGCGTACTGTTGCTAAAGGAATCTGGAACAAAGGGTCATGCACTGCATACAAACACACATATAAACAACAATAGAGTGATAAAGACTTCACACAAAAACAAGTGATAGACTACATAGATATGAGCTCATGTTGTTGGTTGACTATCTGTTTCGTCATCAGTGCTGCTATCCGTAACAGATAAGCTGCAACCCGCGCGATGCAATTTCTTCCCTTGTGTGAGGCTTATTCCAACAACTTTAAACATCCTTAAGACAACTGGCTTCACAGATGGAAATGTCATGGGCGTACGACTTCTTCTCTCATTTTTTGGCAATAACGACAACGTTGACAAAGCTTGCAAGCCACGACGAATGATATTTTTCTCTCTCTTCCTTTGCGAATGTACATGTGTCGTTTTCCACAGTTCTTTTCGTCGCCTTGCATGATTGACAAAATAAAACATAATGAGTTACAAGTCCGACTTTCCGTTGTTGAAACTGACTCATGAATACCAATACAAAATATATGGCAATTGCACCAAGTCTTCATACAAAACAATTGCAGTATTTCTCTTCAGAAAACGCACAGTTCCAAAGTTAGGTAAATACACAATACATCTGAGGGATCTACACAATGGGAGATGAGTGCATGTGATGTACCCACTAATCCGCATATAGTATTAGATATTGCTCCTAAGATAAGAAAGTGCTCACCTCGATGGCTAACTCTCAGTTTTTCTTCATATGCAATGGCGCAATAGGAGATTCCTCGATAGCTATCATGAGGTTAGCAGACTGTGGTGTTTCAGGTTGTTCAAGCGTTTGTTGAGGTGGTACAAGTACAACTTGCTCCGGTGTACTAAGGACTATATGTCCTTCATCCTCTTCGATGCCCTGTACATGGAGAGTTTCTTCCTCCTTTACGCCCTCAAAAGTGTCCTGGAAATTGCCGCTTACTTCGGCCTTCATTGTCGACGACGGCATCTGCAATTCCGTGAGTGTACCAGTAATATCCACTTTCATCGCGACACTGTCGCCCACTAGTATTGTAGTCGTCCAAACTTGGTCAGCTGTACTCACGCCCTCGCAACTCACACCGCCTTTTCGTCCCGAAGTTTTGACACTCACACCGACAATCGATCCCCGTTGTTGTGTCGGGTTGGACTCAACCACGAGTTTCTCCGCTTGGTCAAGCTGGGAGCGCTCCAATAGTGGACCCCTGTCGTGTTCGACTCGACTGTGTGACCCTTCGACAGGTGAAACAACGTCGATTGGTCCCGAAGCCTTGCCACTTGTACCGACGATTGATCCCGTTCCCACTGTCGGGTTCGACTCGACAGTGACTGCTGGACGAGTGTCGTGTTCGACACGACCGCGTGACTCTTTGACAGGTGAAGCACCGCGGATAGTTGTACTGCCCCCCCGTGGTCCCGAAGCCTTGCCAGTCGCACCGGCCATCGTTTCCGATCGAGGTCCCGAAGCCTTGCCAGTCGCACCGGCGATCGTTTCTGATCCCACTATCGGGTTCGACTCGATCGTGTGACTCTTCGCTCGGTCAAGCCGGAAACGCTCCAATGTGAGGCCACTGTCGTGTTCGACTCGACTGTGGGACCCTTCAACAGTTGAACCACCACTCGATCCTGATCCCTTGCGCTCTGTCTCTTGAGGCCCCTGAGACCCTTTGACAGTTGAACCACCGCCGTTTGGTCCTGTAGGTTTGCCATGCCCACCGCCGCTTGGTGTTGATCCCTTGCCTTCTGTTACTTGACGCCCCTTAGACTTTTCGGTTTGTTGCCGTTCCCCATGACTTTCGTCCTTGCCGCTTGCACCGTCATTCGGTTCCGTACCCTTGTCACTTGCACCGCTCCCCAATCGCAATCCTTTGCCATGCGCACCTCCGCTCGATCCGGATCCCTTGCCATGGTCACCACTGCCGCTTGATTTTTTCCTCTCCCYAAGATCTTCTCTGACATGCCAATAATATCCATAAGCCGGGCTGGTTTGTCTATCATAGAACTCTTCCAGATACTCAAGCCACTGCGATGTTTTGAACTCTTGGAAAATTTCTTCTGTTCTTTCATCTAGTCTTGATTGAGAAACGTCCGGATTAAGACGCTGAAGTCGCTTGGCAATCTGATTTTTGGCATGTTTCAGAAAGTTTGATCCTGACATACGTCTGTGGAGGCAAAACTGCCACTCCCCTTCTTCTTTTATAGCCATAACCCATCTCCCTCTCGCCAATGCAGGTTGGAAGTGTTGGGGGTGCCATATAATGTGATGCCCCCATGTGGCATCATCCGTCACCGTATAATCGTCTCGGCACACTATAGACCCCGGAAGCAGTCGAATGTCTGCAGGGATTGTGTCTTCGATCTGGTACTCCAAAGGCTCATCAGGTGGAGGTTGTTGTGCAGTTCGAGAGCGTAACAAGTCCATAATAGTACTTGGGCTGTGTGCAAATGGTGCCAGAGTCGCCACCAACTCTGGGGAGAGCATTGCTAGAACACTCGGATCCAGACTGCCTCTGGAAGCCACCGTCATCGTATTGCCCGCCATCTGAGTCGGCGTAACAATAGAAGAAGTCGACGGTTGAGTCGTTAACTGACCCGTTGAAACCGCCATGCTCGAAGCTCCTCCAGAACCGGACGATGTGCCTGGAACACCCATTCTCTGCGAACCCGGGCTACAAGCTCTTTGCCTCTCAGCTGCCAAAGCCGCTTGCAAAGTGCCATCAACACTCTCTTCTTCTGAGTCGTCAGCATCAAAGTCCTCACCATCCACAAAACAAGTCGAATAACCTGCGATTGTAAACGCCCCGATTTGTTGGTCGAAGTACATGGTCTCCAAGTGGTCGAGAAATGAAACCTCCTTCTCCGATGGTGCTTTATGATAACCCCTCAAGAGCTTCTCCACTTTTCTTCTTCTGAGGACATAAGTACGTTCCCCTCTGTCTTGCGGCTTTGTTTCGAAGAGAAACTCCCAAATATTGACCACGTTTTGGCCAACCTTGTAGACGAGATCACGCCCTTCATCATGTCGAGAAGGCGGCTTAGTAAAGTTGGCGTGGTAATCTCGAGTTTTGACCATCTTGTCAATGAACTGAATGAGGAACTCGAACTTCATACCCTCCCCTTCCAGCGCAATGCAATGACGGTAACTCTTTAACAACTCCCAAACCAATCCTGCATGACCTTTCCTGAGGAAAACGACAGCCTCATCCGCAGGACAAAAATGCTCCAATGTCTCCACCATCTCATTCGGCTCCCTTTCCATACCATCATAGACCACTTTCTCCGGTGGATTCATACCTGCCATTTTCCACTTTGATGGTAGAAAGTTCTTCTCCACGACATCAGTCAACATCTTCGGCTTTCTCTCTCTCCGCACAAGTGTCGATATGTCAGCCACCCGCTCGGCAGATGATGGACCTGCAGCTTGAATATCTTCAAACAAGGAAATGGTGTCGAAATGAAAATACCCGTCGTTGGAGTACATGATGACCACCATTCTGTCTGTGTCCTCCAAATGCAAGTTTGCAACCTTATACACTTTCCCCTTTGTTTGTTGTAGACGAGTCCATTTGAAAAGATCCAATTGAATGTCCCACATCGCGACTCGCCTCAAGAATGTGAACTCGCAAGGGCGTGGAACGAAGCACAACAATGTCCAATACTTGCCGCCAAGTTTGTCCATGAACTTCTTGAGTCCAGCAAACACTTGTTCAGTCCACGCACCCATCTGGGTCGGGCGGCACAAATCAAGGACGGCTGTGTGGCACGTCAGGTGTCTGACGGCTCTAAACATCTCCTTGCAATCCATCTCGTCCGAAACATCGCTCGGTTCCCACAGGAACGACACAAATACAGATGTCACGTCATGTTTATGGAAATGTATGTATCTCGCTTGTCCCGACATACGAATGCTATGCGAACCCCCAGTTTCAGATCTACGCAACAATTTGTTGACAAATTGAATGAACTCTTCGGGGCATTTATTTGCAAGCGATTTTGTTTTCTTGAAGCCCTCCTCTCCTTTCTTATCCTCGCCTCCAAGTGTAGTCGGAAATGACCGCACCCAACTCGTTTCTTTGAAATGTCGTCGCTGGTCGATCCACCTCTCCGATGTCAATCCATGATCAGAATACCTAGCGAACAAATCAGAAAGGTTGTCGAAGAATGGTTCCTTCCACTCTAACGACTTCTTGTAAGGGTCAGAAATGAAGATGAAGTAGTGAAACATTCTCAACATTGCTCTTTCCTGCTTCACCATTTCCACGTATGTCTCCATCGAATGTTTCCCGGCAGTGTTAGCAGCTTTACTTAGCCTTGGAGCCAGTACGACACTTCCCGTGAGAATGTCTCTCAACAGCTGCAACCTCTCACGCCTCCCCAACGTAGACGTAACCTTCCATGATCTGACATCCGGATCGCACACAGCCACGAGGTAACCAGGTCCTCTAGTACCCTGAATCCAGTGCACTGGAACCCTGACTCCTTTTTCCAACTCGAATCCGGGGCCAAGTCTCGGCGCTTTCCCCGATTCACCTTGTTTGGTGGCAGGCTTCACACCATCTCTCCCCGGCGACTGTCCACTCTCCCAAGTAGAATACACTTGTTGCACCTTCTCGAACACATCGCCCGTCGCCCTTGCCAATATCATGTAAGGCCCGAGGACGTCGGACCACTCCTTGCTCCAAGGCTGAAGTGAAAGAGTAACCAAATGATCACTCCCGGTCGCGCGCAGAGCCATCGCCGCAAACTCTCTGTAATCCTTATTTTTGACGTTTGCAACAGATCCGCCTATAGCTTCTGGACGACCGACTGCTTGCCACAACTTTCGTATATTCTTAATGATAGCAATCTGGTGCGGAGGAGTATTCCATTTGTCCTTCGCATTTTGGAAAGTGCTCAAGGTGCAGTAATTTTCCATGCTCCTATCCGGATAGTAAACAGGCCTTGCAGTCCAGCAATCCAAACGGAGCTCACAGGCGATGTCAGGGCGTTTTTGAGAACATTTCCTCGCCGCTGCAACATTGTGTTGACCACTGAGAGGATACCAGTAGTACTTGCGCACGGATTGGAGATCGAATTCGCGGGGCGTCACTCTTCTCGCCCTCACATTCGTACCGGAAGCGTCAGTATGCATTGTATCATGTAGCCCAATTAACAGAAGGACAGGCTTCTCGTACAATGCACATACATTCACCCCGGCTGCCCCGGTCGTTCTCTCTCTGATAGCTGCCTCACCCGGCTCAACCATTGTTTTGTAAAGGTCACCAATAAGCTCCTGATCGAGGAAGCGTTGATTATATCTGAATTCCTCATCAGGCATATCCAGAATCTTGTCCAACTTGACAGAAATGAACTGCATTTTCGGCCTCTGGTTACACCATTCTCGTCGAACTCAAGGAAGAAGCCTTTGCTCAGATGACCAGAAGAATTCCCATGCGGCAGAATCTGCAAACCGGGCGGTCTGGTGATTGTCTTCCCAAAACGTCTTCATCCGACTGTGGCTGGTCCGGTGGAAAAACGGAAGTTTTTTCCATCACACCTCCCTTCGCTGCTTTTTTCCTTGGCTGCCGTTTTTTCTTCATGGCCTCCTCAGCCTCCCGCGTACGTTGGACGGCCTCCTCAACTGCCAGCATTTTCAACTTGCGTTTGCCCTCCTYTTGCTTGGYTCCCCCYTCCTGCTKGGTTTTCTTRCTGTCCATAGCACKTCTCCTCTCTTGCCTYATCTTCCTTTTCTTYTCAGCTAGTCGTAMTGCATCGTCATGCGCCGGCTCGAMCCCAACTTCRCGGTGCATTTCCCCKCGCCCTGGATCCGCTTMCCAATGCCCATGACCCGGCGCGAGCARCTGYGTTCGTTTGGAACCCYGATGCACATCTGCRTACCCTCCCTCGMCGRTCGTTTCCTCTTCTTGCCCTTCGTTCTCATACTCAACCCCTAGACRACCCTCCAACTCGYCCGGCCCACCCCTCTCGCTRATTGTKTRTTCACTCTCTACTTCCTCTTCTTCGYCACCCTCCTCAYATTCTTYGCGTTCTTCATCGCGCTCCCATTCTTCTTCGCTGTTCTCCTCGTCGTCATCTCCAAAATAATGCGACCCAGCAGGAATGGCCAACTCATAGCGCGGCGGGCGGACCAAGGAAACGGGTTCCTTGGTTGATGTCGGTCTACGCTTCACAGGGGCTGACGGCACGATTTGGCCGCAACACGGACCTTTTTCCCCGATCTGCCCTGATTTCGGAACTCGTGTTGCAGCAACCGTAGTACAAATTGATGGCGGAGGGCGGACACCTATAATGATCGGTTTCGACGACGGACCCGCCTCCAAAGACGACGAAAGCACGCTTTTCGGTTCAGATATGCGGTCGGAAGCATGCACCACCGGCTCATGCCCTGCGACCACATGTCTGTCGAAGAATGTGAAAACCGATCGAAGGTCCGGTAACGTCAATTTCTCCTTCCCAGGCGGATTGAAAATGTCATAAAGCCTTTTGCCGTACCCAGCGTGTTTGGCCCAACGAAGAGCAACGTGTTTGACATTCGCAATCCGCTCACCTCTAGCGTTAAGGACCATCGTCAACTCCAACATGGCGAACTGTGAATTTCCTTCACTCCACTTCACTACACCGCCAATCGGAACAATGTTATCTTTGATCACCACGTACAAAACCAGCCCACCCGAGGGTTCCCCTATTCCACCCACCCAGTCCAACATCCACCACTTGTTTTTGTGGTCGACGACAGACACCTCGTCTCCCACACCTGCAGCGGACGTGTCACCAGACCTTTTACGCCTCGGTACAATGTCCATCGCAGATTTCCCTTGTCGACCAGTAGCCTCCTCTTCTCGACCCGCAGCCCCACCGCTCATCAGCACAGCCGAATCCGGTCCCGAACCTCAAACATGGGCGGAAGGAGTGCCCGTAGAAGGTGCACCCCACAGCACCGGGGTTCGGTGGCCCTTAGACCTCGGTGTGTCACCAGCCCCCACGCCAGCTGTCGGTGTCCCCTTCGGTTTTTTCGGAGACTGCTCCATGCTCCCGGAACCACCACTAGTACGTCGTTTGCTTGGCTTCCCCTCGCGATCCATGCCGAGCAGCTAGTCGCAACTGAAGATGGTCGCCAAACGATGCCTGTAGGGGAGCTGACCGTCGTGTTCGACACGACAGCGACACTGTCGTCCGCCGTTCGACAGTCGACCAAGTGCCCCTTCGGGCACCATCTCGAATCCGACACGAGAGCGACATTGGGGTGTCGTCGTGTCACTGTCGTGTCGAACCCGATGGCACTGTGCGGGCTGACCAACCGTCGTGTCGGACACGACAGCTACACTGTTGTCTGTCGTGCGGCAGTCGACCAAGCGGCCCTTCATGCACCGTTTGGTCGCCAGATAACAGTGTCCATGTCGTGTTCGACACGATGGTCGCCAAACGGTGCCTGTAGTGGAGCTGACTGTCGTGTTCGACACGACAGCGACAGTGTCGTCCGCCGTTCGACAGTCGACCAAGTGCCCAAGTGCCCCTTCGGGCACCGTCTGGTGACCATCGTGTCGAACACGACATGGACACTGGGGTGTGTTGTGCGACATTTGTCGGGTTCGACACAATGCTCGACGGACGGTGCCTAAAGGGGCACTTGATCACGAGAACACAAGACAACAGATCGCAGGCACTGGTTAACACGGAGAAACATTGACTGCTGAATGTTTGTGCACGCAAAACATCAGAACAATGAGTTTTTGTTTCCCGAAAGGAAACACAACATGAGAACAACAATCAAACACTAGGCTGGCAACGATGTTTCGGTGTCCAAAGCCGACCAAAAACACGTCATCATTCCCGGGTTTCAATGAATCGAAAACAATATGAGGACAACAACGTCAAACGTGTGTATTTTTGACCACTGAACACATGACGAGAACAACTAGCAGATACTGTGTATTGTTATCGAATAACACATTGAGAACAGCAATCGAGAACAACCAGCAGATACTGCGTATTGTTATCGAAATAACACATTGAGAACAACAATCGCAATGCGAATTCCATGAGGCTGTCCATCGACTACGGGAAACAATCTCGCCTTTGCGGCCATTTCGGCCATTCAGTATGTCGTTTTGGCCATGCAGTATGACGAAGGCTATCTACCGACTACGGGGAACAATCTCGCCGTTGCGGCCATTCATCACGGTAATTGGCGATCCGAAGGTCAACTGCTGCGCCGTCTCAGCAAACACCGAAATGTATGCCATTCGCATGAACCTGGATTTCCCGACGAGAGAAGCGCCTATAGCATCCCGAAATGAAACGACTTTAGCCTCGACCTCGAGCCATGCGACAACGTCCTCCACCTGGCCACCCACCACGATATTGAACTAAACACATATCCCTCCCTGACATAGACAACTCGTTCCTGGACACATACACGACAACATCGGTCAAGTTTCTAGCCCTGCTTGAAACGACAATACAGAGGACCCTACAAAAGATAAAGTATGTCAGACGCAATCTCACGCAACAATACGAAACTGCTCCTGGCGACAGACCGGGAGATCGCAACGGATAATGATCGATGAACTGAGAATGTCGCGCACAATCGAGTAACTCCTGTTTCATAACACGGCACCAGGTGCGAGGTGAGGTTGTCACGTATTCGCAGTCCAAACCCCCCACAACACAGCTTATTTTTAGTTTTTTACACAGTAGCGGCAAGCGCACGGGACGCAGCACATCGAACGGCACGGGAATGCGTTTGCCGAATTCGGACATATTATCGAACTCATAATCGCACGCCCACGCGCATCTCTCCATCATGTTCACCCACTCGCACTCCTCCCACGAGTCCAAATGTTTGTCGCCAAACGGGAGGATTCTCATCCAAAGGTCGCATTCGAAGTCTTCTAGACAAGCGCCTTCATAGGTTACGCTACCCTGACATTGTCGGACGTACAGCGCACAAGGTGGGAAAGGGTGTGCCTTGCGTGCACGCCAAAGTGTTGGGGTCATATTAAAGATCTCCATAGCAACAGTGAAGAGAAGACGACCTGCACGGCACAAGGGCAACGGTCACCAGCAGCAATAGAACAACCAACAGCAGCATAGAACTTTCACCCCGCTCCCACCAACAATGGAACAAACCAGGCCGCACGACAGCACAATGCACAGAATCTATGAGCGAAATCCACGCCCATGCACGGTCCATAGCACTGCACACAATCATGAACGATTCGATGACATTGCACCATGCACATTCTCGTTCCACTAGAGGACAGGGAAGGATCGTGTTCGACTCAACGACAGGGCACTCGCCTATCGTGTTCGACACGACGATCGTGTTCGATTCGACRWTCGTGTCCGACTCGACAATCGTGTCCGACTCGACGATCGTGTTCGACTCGACGATCGTATTCGATTCGACGATCGTGTCCGACTCGACGATCGTGTCCGACTCGACGATCGTGTTCGACTCGACTATCGTGTTCGCCTCGACTATCGTGCTAGACTCGACGATCGTGTTCGACTATCGTGTTCGACTCGTCTATCGTGCTAGACTCGACGATCGTGTTTGACTCGACGACAGGGCACTCGACGAACGTGTTCGACTCGACAAACGCAGTCGACGATCGTGTTCGACTCGACGGTCGTGTTCGACTCGACGATCGTGTTTGACTCGACGAACGTGTTCGACTCGCCTCTCGACGATCGTGTTCGACTTGACTATCGTGTTCGACTCGACGATCGTGTTCGACTCGACGATCGTGTTGGACTCAACGTGTTCGACGAACGTGTTCGACTCGACAGGGCACTTGACGATCGTGTTAGAGTCGACGATCGTGTTCGACTCAACGATCGTGTCCGACTCGACGAACGTGTTCGACTCGACGATCGTGTCCGACTCGACGATCGTGT